AATAAACATCAAAATTTAGTCGAAGCAAAATTACGAGGTTTTTCAATATGTTAAGGTTTAGTCTTTTGGTTTGGTATTACCGCGGATATTCGATAAGTGTATATTAAATCGAAATGTATTAACTCTGTAGGATTTAAATTTAAGTCTAATCTCTATTGACCCCTTTTTCAAAAATGCTTTCATCATATTATCCGTGATTATTCGAAAACAATCACATCGCATGTTTTAATACAATAAATCATTATGGGCTACGATAGCAACAATAAAATTACGATTTCAAATCATCAGAATAAAGTTCGGACATCGACACATCGCAACATTTTTATACATTTTTATATTAGAAAACATACATATATTCTTTTGTCGAAGCGAAATGTATCTGGAGAACACCCGAGTATACGCGTGCACTATTCTTGTTTTGCAGCGCGAGAGGAAGACAATGAACGTGTCGCATCAAAGGACGACACGGTCGGAGAGGAATATAATGATATAATACTCCTCCGGCACCGAACCAACGCTACTAGGTTAGGTCGCCACAGTCGACACGACGTAACTGTCACGTGTTTGGGCGGGGTGCTGACGGAAACAGGACGAAAAAATACGACCCGACTATGGTGGACGATCAAGTTTCCTCGCGGCGTTCCCTCTTTTTCGTAACATCGCTGAATTTTACGAACGGGAAAACTTTAATATATTCTTATTATTATTATTATTATTATACGCTCCTTTATCGTTAAGTGAGACCGAAGAATTTTTTATTATTGTTATTACTATTTACTATTATTTCGTAAGTATTGAAAATCGAAAGAAGTGCATTTTACATTAAGAATTAAAATGTTCATGATTGTACATATTGTACACAACATCAAAGTTTACACTAAGTATAATGGGGTACAGTCAGATGATTTGTAAACACGATAAACAGTTTATAGACAAATAACGATTGCTTATAAGAAGGAGAAATAGAACAAAATCATGATTCCAATAAAACTCTTCGTTCGTTCTGCACTTGAAGACGAGAGGTTTTTTGAAATTTGAGTAAACAAAAAATGTCGGTACTCAGTAGCTTTTACGCTATCTGCCAGAAAAAATTTATCTAACGACATTTTCATTTACAATATCAGTATTATTAATGACAAACGAATAATAATATAAATTCTATTTATTTAGCTTTATATGATTTTATTAAGAATTATAATATTTACTTAAATGTGAACAATATATGTTATAATAATAAGTTATTTTCATTAGTAATGCCGAAAAATGTATTTGTTTTTATAAGTAAGTAATTATTTATTTTATTATTATAGAGATAATCTATTTTTATTTTACAATACTTTATCTTCCACATTATAATATTTTAATAAAATATTATAATCACATAATAATGTAATGTGTGTATACTGTAGGTATATGAATTAGAAAGTTATAGTTGTAATAAAGTTAGTGTAGAGTCTACACTTTAAACTTAGACCCGACTACCGAAGTTTGAAATTTTAGCAGCTGTCACCTACGAAAATTACAATAGCTGTTAGCTTATCGCTTTAAACTGTTTAGTTATGTATAATCTGTATAATATTACGTTTTTTTATCTTTGGCTATCTGCCTATCTGTTTTTTTACAATAAATGATAACCAATTTTATTTAGATTGAATGATATAATTTAAACTGATTTAAAATAAAAATTATGAATGAGAACGAAAGAAAAAAACAAAATTACTTATATTACATTATTTCTGTTTTTGCTTTATAACCCCGTTTATATTAATATTTCATACATGAAATATGTGAAGGATAATGTAATTGTATATTATGTGATGACGAGAATGGTGCGCACAAAGAGGGTGGCGGCCATTGACCCGTATTATACGAATGAGAGAAAATAGTTTTTTTAACGATTCTTCATTCCCGCGTTGGGTTTTCTTTTACTAAATTAGACACGCATAGATACGTATATTTTCCTGAATCAAAAAAAAAAAAATTTACACTCTAATTACTTTTTTTTTCAAAAATTTGACACACCCTACGCCGGAGAAGGCGTAGATTCGTTTACATCTATATGTTATTTACACAATATGAATCGCACATATGTACTTGAACAGGAATTATTGAAATAGATAAACTATTTCTGAAAAAAAAAACTCAAACACATTAGGTAATTAGACAATAACGCACCTCTATGCACCCTTATAATAATATATAATAATATGTTTTTATCAGTGAACCTATCAATAATGCTATTAAAAAAACATACGAATTGCTGCATTTCTACCAAGACTGTCAAATTACCGGTCAACAGCAACAGCCACGCTCCTCCAGAAATCTCAACATATATACACAACCCCTACTTAGAAAGAAACTTATAGATAAACCACATTACATATTAGCCTTTGGGGAGTATTATATTGTAAACCCATTTTATCAATAGATTGAACATTGGACAATCTTACAACGTTCACAGGTTTCACATGATAAAAATATAAATTATAATCTAAATTGAAAAGTATATTTATTTCATTAAATAGCGATTAATACATTGTATAGCATATTTTTTTATTAGATAATAAACATATAAAATGAAAAACTACGAACAACCAACAAAATAATTGTTTAAAAATAATATGCATATATTATTAATTTTAACATATTTCTACATTAACATGTTTTTTTTTTCATGTATTGAATAAATGCTTTTATTTCCAATCTACCTATACAATGCATAATATTTAAGTAAATATTTAAAAAATTTAAATAGTAGTGATATAGGTACAAATGGCTTGATGGGCGTGAGTGTGGAAACCATTCAACAGCAACTTTTGTTTATAGTTTGAAGATTTCAATGGGGAAATGTTTTTTTATAGGTAATAATTGTAAAAATAATTATACCATTTAATTATTTAAATAATTAAAAAATTTTAGTTAGCATAAAGTCTAATCATTACAGACGTAATTATCATAAATAATACAGTTATTTAAACGAATAAAATATTTAGATAGAATAATATATTTATTCCTTGTTTATTAGAATAAAAACATTGATTTATAGAATTTCAGAAGTTTACCTTTAAGTTGTATTTAAACTTTATAAATTAATTAGGTATATTATGTAGTATGTACATAATAACAATATTATAAAGAATGAGTTTAATATATGCGAACAACAACTTCTCAATATAATAACTAATTGAAGTAAAGTTCAATTATTTTTTAGCGAATAATTTTTACGATTTAATATTTATATACGTAAGAATTAACGAGTTATTATTTATGACGCCGGAATGAGTCCAAGAAAAAAGCTAGGCAACAGGTGTATATTCAATCCACTTTTTACGGTGCATAATATTATATTTATTTAGCTTTTTCTCCATCTTAAACTAATTTATGACACATAATACTATAAATTCAAATTTTAAAGAGAATCTTCATAATAACAATAATGCATATGCATATGAGTATAGCAGAAGTTTTCTATATTTTTTCATACATTTTTAAAAACAAGGTTATTATTTTTTTGAATCATGGTAAAATTTCTGATGAATCTTTTTTTATCAACACAACATTACATTTATAAATATTCGAACGTAATCCATCATCTAGGTACTATCGTTCATCAAAATAGAAGAATATACACATTATCACATAAATGATATTCATGTTTAATTATTTTCTAGTTGCAAATCATGTGAAATAAATACTAATTCAAAGTACATAAATCTGCGTTTAAGTATAAATAAATTAATACAAATACACCTAACTTATATTAGTTCAAACAATACTGTTCTATACATAGGTACTATAATTTGATAAATTGTGTAATTTTTGTGTAAGTATACTAATAATAAATTATAAACAACATAGAAAAATGTCAAACACATAACAGTTAATGATAATAATTATGATAGGTATAATGTGTTGAGAATCTAATCTTTATAATCTACCTAATGTTCTTTAAATCATAATATATTAGTTATTTATTTCAATAAAAATTGTACATAACCTTTAATTGTAATTTAAAATTTTAAGTTGTATCACATAATAAAAAAATATAAATAACTTAAAATATTTATTTGGTAAGTACTATCATCACAGACGTTTTACCGAATTGATTTTATTGGTACCCTATATATACAATATATCACGATGAAAATTTATTGAAAATAAGTAATATGGTATAATAGTGTTGAACAGCGGAAGCTACGATAATATAATAACCCATTAACCAATTGATTAAGATTAGATAGGCAAATATCGAACAGACCAAGCAAAACTGTCCTGGATCAAACTATTTACACTACAAAATACCATTCAAAAAATGATTAGTAATACATAATACAATAAAAATCTATCAAAATCTGATAATATTTTTTACTGCGACAAAAAAAATGTGTTCTAGAACTGTTTTTGACCTAATGTATTACATTTATGATTGCAATACATTTCCAATCTTGTATTTTACCAAATGATTTAAACGAAAAACCTATTTCGAATTATTTTAATAGAACCTACATTTCCTGAGGTTGATTAAAAATCGAATTATTACAGGTATTTAAAATAATCTGACAACGAAAAATTCAGAAATGAATTTCGAATTAGATGCAGCGTAACCACTGCAGAAAACAGTAAAAGTAACACTAGTTCTTTACGGACGGAAACGGTGACGAATTTATAATATGAGCACCTACACGACAACGGCAAACAAGGTATTCGTTTTTTTTTTTTTTTATGATGGGTACGGTCTACTTATTCAGAAGGCGGCGCGAAATTAAAACGACAGAAAAAAAACGGTGTCGCGTAAAAACTCGATATATTATATAAAAGTATAAAACTCCCGAATGGTAAGAGTATTGCACTGTATTAGGCATATCCTCGAGTAGTCGGGTATAACTCTTGTCTACATACATTAGCAGTTAACAAACAATAATAGAATTATAAAATTTAAAAAATAAATACGATAACGATGTGGATAGGTGGAATAATGATATATGGTCGTTGAAGCTTACCGGTAGAATTGAAGTCGAGTCGGCTGGCATCAGCCGGGACGAAGTTCACACGAAAATGTTGATGACAACGGAACGCGGCCGGATTTTGCACGGTACCGACACTTTTGAAAAGAGGTAAGTAGAACGTGATTAATATTATACCTGGGTCGCGGTCGACAGGAAAAACTACGAGCGCAACCGAGATTATCTTACACACAAACTCACGGGGGTGCGCGCGGACGAGATAACGGCGGCGGCGACGGCGGGCGAATTCGCGAGCGCAACAATTATTATTTTAAAATTGAAAATTTTATCGGACGATCCGCACGCGTAAAATTTCTTAACGAAACAAATGCGACGAACAGAACTTAAAACACTGACCCGTGTGACGCGTTTCACTAATTCACTATCGCGGCGGCGGGCGTTGGATTTTCGCGGATGACAGTGTGTGGTGCGCGCGCACGCATGTGTGAGTGTGTGTGTGTGTGTGTGTGTGTGTGGTACGTGGCACGCGAACGACGACGTCGGTCCGCACGATGCGATTCACTCCACTCAACTGACGGCTGCGACTGATCGGGCGCACCGGATCGTCGGTGGCGGCAATGTGGGAAGGGGGACGACGTGACGACGGGCGCGGCGGTGGCGGCGGTGTGGTCGACGTACGAAAAGAAAGCGAACAACAATGAAACGATTGCGGAAGCCGCCGATAGTCAGTGTGCGCGTCGCTTACTCGGTACGCGCACACACGGGCGCCAGCGTTATTATTATACTTGTGCATACTTATTAAAAATATATTATACGAGTAATATTTTATTGTGATGATGATGATGATGATGATAATAATACTATTCAGTATAATAAATGAGAGTACGAAGCACATTTTTTCAAACGTAGATACCAAAAATCAAAAAAAATCTTACCAACGCGTAAGCATACGCAATTGTGCAGTAGATTTCTGTGACGAAAATCAAACTGTTTCACTTAATTTTTCAGTATTTTAACTTAGAAGAGATCTCTAACGACTTGACATTGTATGCTTGCCGAGTATATGAAATAAATATCAATTCCTGTGCCAATAATTGTTTATTATTTTGATTTTTGTCTAATTATTATTATACTTGCAAAAGGAATTTTTTCGTAAATAAATTGTATTTAAAAAAACTTTAGCGTCTTTGTGTTAAAAAAATTAACTAATACTTTAAACTGCAAGTTGCAACTATAATCCCGATTTCGATATATATTATATTATATTATATCGAGACGATATTGACAATTAAATATCATAGTTTTAATAAACCACTAGTATATGAGCCATTTCTTACGACGTATCTTGAATTCATCGGTGCTTATAGTCACTAGTGTTCAGTGTTCACCAAGCCACCTGTCACTCACCTGAGTTGTATTGGTTTTATAAACGTATAACATACATTTTTACGTTCACAATAATCCATTTTACTCTGTTATTGTTAAAATTAGAATGAATTGACTTATTTTAAGATTTAAGGGTATTTATTTATTTTAGATTATTACCTAAGACATGTCAGTGGACTATTACTTACTTTAAAATCAAAATTCTGATAAGAGTCTCCGAAATACCATAGATAATAATCTTATTTTTAAATTCTATAATAGCTAGGTCAATTCATTCTAATTTTAAAAACGACAAAGACAATACATTATTGTAACGTAAATTTGTTATAAATTTTTAAGACGAAGATAATATATGCAGATAGGGTATCTTCTCAAAGACTAAGGAGATATGGATTTAAATATGTAACATAACTGAGAGTTAAATAAGCGGTAGAATGTTGATGAACGTTTTTTTCGTAACAAATTTATCAGGCATCCGTCTCATAATTATAGACTGCTAGTGTCCACGAATTGTATTAAGAATCTGGACTACGAGTATAATAGGAATAGGATATTCTAGGTACATATGAATTCGCTGTTCGCATACTACTCTTAAGTGTATTATGCCTCATGGGGATCAGGTAACTCGACCGGAGAGCTTCAATTATAATGTATAGGTAAATTAATATATGATTTAGTTTATAATAACTATGCAATCATGTATTTTTCATTTACCTAGTGGCTAGTAGGAAATAAAGGGAGTCAAAAAAGATGTGTATTTTATCAGTTGTGTAAAAAAAAGATTTGTCATTATAATACCTTATATTATTCTCATAATCCTAACGTACCTTATTGGTTTTTTTTTACTAAAAATTTGAATGGCGTTAATAAATATAACCATACAAATTATATAACTATGATAGGAAAAAATCTTTAGAATCTGTTAATTTATTGAAATTAAAATTTAAGAATAATTTTATGTTTTGTGGTGAATAAAATAATAAAAACATTAAAACCGTTATTCTTAGTTTAAATATGTAATTAAATATAAATTTTAATCAAATAAGCACTTGTATACATTTTTAGATGTTGAAACTAACTTTTTATATATTATAATATATAAAAATCTTGAATTAAATTTTCAAACTTAGGTAAACAATTTAAACATTTTATATACATTTTTAATTGCAAAATAATCTGTAAATAATTTTTCAAAATTTAAACTTAAATTAATATAAAAAATGGTAGATATTGTACTGCAGTTGCTGTACACTATAGGTTTCAAGTGAATCACTAATATGGATATGTTAAATTCGTTTTAAATATTCCAAAGCTATATTGTTATATACAAAAAACGATTTTGGAAAGATTATTTGTCAGCCTATACCTCTAGGCTCTAAGTACATTTCATGGTGTGTTTTGATATTTCAGTAATTTATCTTACTGTTATAGTATTACAGTAAGTTAATTAAATTTTTCCGAAAACTTGAATTTATTATATTATTATTGATTACCTAATGTTTAATTATTATTTTAATATAGGTATATTAATTCTATGTTATATGATTGTTATTAACTATTGAGTCAATACCACTTACCATAAAACAACATCATTAGTTTTATAGTATAAAACTATTAATACGTAATATCTTAAAATGAATTTACATATTTTAAAAATATCATTGCATATAGAAAAAATATACCTAAAAGTTTTCACGCGTAATAACCATCATTTCAATGGTAAGACATATTACAAATTTCGAATTTTTGATTACAAATTATTATAAATTAAAAATTTCGTTTTTTGGGGTACCAGACTGATAAATCTCATTCAAAACATGATCAGATCAAAATATCATCGTAGCATAAGTTTACTACTTAAATTCTAAAATGTTTACACGGCTATACTATATGTTTAAATCACGCAACTATTCTCTTGATCTAAAACTTAATGTACTTATAGTAAATACGCCGTCATCTACATTTAGATAATATACACTATACACTTTACAGTCTTTACACTGTTTTTGATTCATTTTTACTCGTAATAACATGTAACAGTTAAGTATGTATAAATAAACATTTCTGATATTAAACACAAAAAAGAAATACTCGTGAATCGTAATGCATGCCGTTCGTGTGTGGGATACTGCAGGGACAAAAAAAAATGACAACGATGTGACCATTTTGGTTGACGCATTAGCAGCAACGATGCTCGTGTGTGTCTTATATATGATACACTGCACATATATACATAGATATATACATATTAACACCACTGGGTTGCATCTAAAAATAATAATATTATTTTCTCGTCGGGACAAACAAAAAACGGGCCGCGACCGCCGGTTGTCGACCTCTCTCCTACCTCGAACGTTTTATATGCTACGACAATAAGTACACACGACAAACCGATTTCAGTTGGTTTATTATTATTATTTTCAAATTAAATTTATCTCTGATCTTTAGCTCGACAAGACTATCTTATGCGAGCAGTTGCTTAAAAAGTTGTCCATCTTTAAGATATTTAGTTATTTTAATTTTAAATAAATTGATCATCTCAGGAAAAATAATTTCTAATTTCTAATTAAGTATATTGAGTATTAAGTAAGAAGTAAAGGAAAGGGAAACAAATGAACGATTCGAAAATTCCCTATGTATAATTTAATATTTAAACTCGATTTGATAATTTCCAATTGATAAATTCTTGAAAAGCATTATATGCTTTTACTATTCAAAAAAATGTTATTAGGTGGTATTAAAACATTTATATACATGACCTTTACAAATTCAGAATCTAAATAGAGACAGACTGTCGTACAGAAGTTTTACATTTTTAAATTTCAATATGTTAATTATGTTAGAAACTGAAAAATTATTGGCACTTTAAAATAAGATTTTTATATTTATTTACCTATAATTAAATCTTATAATCAAATTTTAGTAAAAAAATGTTCAGATATCAGCGTAATTTATTACTAAAACAACGATAATCTGATAACTCTTAGTCATATCTATTAGACATAATCTGTAGTTGTAGACAAATAAAATTTAAAAACTTTATGACTAGGTACCAATACTTATTATAAAACGATTTAAACTTGGTCATTTGCAAATTATTTTATAGTTAAAAATTCTTACATTTTTTTATATTCATTCCTAAAATTTTAAAATTTAATTTACGGTTACTCATAAATAATTGTTATAACCTAGCATAATTCCATAAATATTTTGTGAAGCTTAAATTCCTGTAGTTAATAATTGTTCCCAGCATTTAAAAATTGATTCGAATTTCCTATAATAAGTAGGTAGGTACTTAAGTTTCAGTATTTTTTCATTATTTTAGTTAATCATATTAGTTGATAAATTTTAAATTTCACATACATTAATTTTTTAGATGATTCTAAAATACCATTTTTCAAAATTTGCGACCAGTTCTAGAAAGTCGGTTTTGTAGCTGCATTCCAGAACCAGTACAAGCATTACAGAACCGTCTTCAACTTCCAATTTCCATAACCGATTTAACAAAACTGAGAGAAATATGATCTTTAAATTACACAATATCATATATCAGTGTGAGTGTGCAAAAACTAAGTATTTATCACAATGATTCATTTATAATAAGCTTACTGGCTTTACTACATTCCCAAATTTTAAAAATATCAAAAAATATTAACATAGCTCGCCGCACAAGACAAATGCACGTGTTTTTTAATAACACGTACCTACTACTGTACTAGAAGTTCCCAACAACCACCAAATTATGAATTTACAAACATGTTTAATTATTCAAATTATTTGACTTTAATTTCAATTTTAACCTCAAATTCAACTGCATGTATTTTTAAAAACTTATTAAAAAAAAAAAAAGTTACAATATATCTAACTGTATGTTACTATAGTAAAATATGAGGAAATATAAGTACCTGTTTTATGATATCTTCAGAAAATCTTTGAATTTATACTGGTAGAAAACGAATTCATTTTTATACCATATTGCTATGTAAACATTACACCTATATCAAAATAACGAGTCGAAAAGCTTTTATACGTATATCATTCATATAAATGTATTTTATTATACATAATGAAATTAAACTAATACAGTATTGTATAATATTAGTAATAAAATGTATTATTATGTAATTTATTAATTTTAATTATATTTATTTTGATATAAACCTACCTAAT